TTTAAATCCTATCATCCCATCATGACAAAGAAAAACAGTTCTATAACAATTTACAGATAGCCACTTCTAAAGTTTTCAAGTTGCTGGTAACCCTTCCTCAGTGCCTTTCCTATTCCTATTGTCTTTATTTAAAAAAAAAGCCCTAGGCCTTTCTGAGGAATACAGTCAGCTGGTTAGGTTTTTCATTGTTGTACAACATGCCCACTTCCTTTAAGCCTTCTAGTCTTTTTTAATGTGGACCACTGTTTTCTCCAAGCTCCCAAAAGCCATCTCAACAGTATAACTACTTCATGAGGCTTTAAAGGGATGTCACAGGAACATATCCTTAATATTACAAATTCTGTATGGATTTGATTCTTAATTCATGAAGCCATCCATACAATCACAAATTTATTATCTAAGATATAGAATTTTGGAACAAAGAAGCATTTTCTATAAAATTTGAGAGCAGCATAAATATTTCATCAAACCTAAGCTTTGCAATAGTTATTTTTAAGCAGAAGAAAAGGCAGGCTAGAAAAATGTGAGATGTTCTTCCAGTGACATATTCTTGCTGTAGAACAAGTTCTCTAAGGGCAACTCTCACATGGGAGCGAACTCCACAAGCATAGAAATGTATGTTTGACTAGGATCTATGAAAAGACTAAAGAGGGCCCAGAGCAATGCTTCTCAAAGGTGGTTTGAAGACTTGTGTTAGTCTGTGAAGAGGCTCCAACCTCCAATTTGTGGCATGAGGAATTAGAAATTGAGAGTGTTAAGAAAATTTTAAATATTTTACATTGTTGTGATATCCAAGAACATGACCAATGGATTCAACCTGTTGAACAGGGTCTCGACAGTTTGGATGTTGTCAAACTTGCATAGTGGTGCATGCCTCTAATCCCAATGGCTCAGGAGACTGAGGCAGGAGGATCTCAAATTCAAAGCTAGCCTCAACAACTCAGCCAGGCCCTGGGCAAAGGACTGGGGAAGTGGCTCAGTTGTTAAGTACCTCTGGCTTCAATCCTCTGTATTAAAACAAAAACAAAATCTTACAAGGTGGGTTCAATGCAGGGTGAAGTCCATACCTGTCAGTTTTGATATATAAAGAATTAGATGTGTAAAAACAAAAAAACCTGGTTCTACACCATACATGGTTAAGAAAGACTGCCGTAGGGTACCCAGCTCTATCCCTCCACAAGTCCTAGAATAATTCAAATAGTACTTTAAATCAGAGAGTAATCAGAAGTCAATTTGCTCATGTTCAATCAAAATAAATGAAAATGAAAAAGAGTGTCTTGGGAACAGAGCTAAAGTAGACTAGGGCATCTTTTAAATCCATGGATTAAAAGCCTTGGTCAGGCTACCAGAAAAGAAAACTGGCAGGACAGTATATACACAGTTCAAAGAGCAGAGCCCTTTTATTCATCCTTCCTGTTCTCTATTCTTTTCCAGTTTGGGGCTGGAACTTTAAGGAGAGAATTTTGGCATTCAGGCCATATAACTGTCATCATAAGTCCCCTTGTACTTTTTCTATGTGTCACAAAGTAGAAGTCTCACATTCAGACCTGGGTTCTTCCAAGCTCTGATTAGGTATGGTACTGGACTTTTCCAAATAGCCTAAGGCCTCAAGAACATTTCCTTCCTTTCCAAGGCCAGAGAATGTATGGGACTTTTAAATAGTGAAAAATTTTAAACCAGGGGAAAGTGACATGTCAGTAGCTCAAAGTGACTCAGATGATGAATGTAAATTTGTTCTGGCAAGAATTATTTTCCAGTGAATAAGGACAGCCAGCTAGGCTGACCAGGGTATCCACCAAACATATGGCAGCCAAGATCCCTAGATCCACTGAGAAGGGCAATGTCAGCTCAAAGATAAATAATTGAGAAAACATGTTAACAATATATTACTAAAATTAATCACAGTATGAAAATGAAAAGTAAAAATATAATACCAATTGCAACACTTTTCAAATTGAAATACCCAAAAGAAAAATGAGGAAAGAGAACTATTCTCCTTTGCCAACTGAGGTGCAGATTGAGCTGGGGAATGGGGGCGGTGGTGAAGGCCAGCATGATGTTACGTAAAACTAATCACATTCCCTACACTGCAGCTTATAGAAGCTAAGGAAGCAGAAAAAGACCTGGATGAAAAACAGGCCACACTCCTCACTCAGAATATTTATTAGACACTGCCCCATGAGGTTGCAGGAAAAGGACCTAGGCTGCACCCCTTCTCCTTTCCTAAGCACCTTCGTGAACCAAGGATTCTAAAGGAATCAGATGATTCAAATAAGCCAGAATATGTCTGGGTAGAATAGCCATTCATTTGACACACCTGACATTACTACTATGTGTTTGCCAGAGAGGGAAGGAATCAGTCAAAGTGGTGGATGAACCAAATGAGGGGGAATGGGAAGGGCCCTTCTTTATCTTAGTGTGGGTTAAGAAGGGTTGGAATGAAGGGTATTTTAAAAAGGAGATAAGAGGACAGGCAGGAGGCAAAGTTAAGTCAGGGGCTGGGTTTATCGGATCATACAGCATTGTAGAAAGAACCAGGATAGCAACTGAAGTTGTCAGGCTGGAACAGGAAGTTGAGGACTTAGCACCTAGAGGGAGGAAAAGGTTTCTCTTCCAACCCTACTGTAATAGATACTAAGGCCCTTTCCCTTCAGGGAATTCAGAATGGTCTGTCTAAAGGCAAGAGAGCAAGGGACAGATCTACAGTTCTGGCTGAGGCTAAGTTTCTTTCTCCCCATTCCCAAAGTCCCTGTCCAAGAGAAGTGTAGAAATAGAGTTCCAGGACTCTGCCCAGATCCAAGAGAGGGAGTGGAGACAAGGCACAAAGACCCTGGGAGTAAAAGTGAACATCAATGTGGACATGTATAACGTTATTTTGGGAGAGGGAAGAAGGTGCTTCCCCCAAAGGAGTGCCTTCCTTCACCTGGCTTGTAGATGGGTCTTTACTAGCAGCAGAAACCACGAGCAGGGCTCACAGAAATGGCCTGTGAAACAGATCCTACTCCTAGAAAGTCAGAGGAAAAGCCTCAGCCAGTATGGCACAATCTTGAATGGGACTATGGAGGGCTGTGGGCAAACCGCTCCTGCAGATGACACTCCTGTCTCTCTCGGTTCCCAATGGTTCTGTTGACTCCAGATGTTTCCCATGGCTGGGACTCAGGGAGGAAAACATGTTTGTCTCACATGATCAGACACTGTTCACCACTGGCACCTGGTGGGCCTGAGAGATTGAGGGCATCCAAGTCAAAGTTGAGGCCAGGAGGCTGGAGAAGAGATGAAGGAACTCAGATAATTGCTCACTTTTCAGGCTGGAGTTTCTGAAGGTCCATCTCCAGCAGCCGTAATTATTACTTTAGGTAGAATCACTAGAGTTGTTGAAATGGGGCTCAGATTAAAATCTAGAAGATATACTCACCATCTCCCCAGCCAGTTCTTTTGGAGGATGACCCAAATCCTGTAGCTAGAAAATAGAAAATATAAGATAAAAAAAAATCCCAGAAAATAACAGAGGAGCTTGACAAGGAATCTGGTTAGTAATCTCTCTGATTTCTTCTGACCATGCAATATGGACTCTCTTGTGCTCCCTCCTCTACCCAGGTTTGGCAGTATAGTATATCCTTCCTAGGTAACTTCTTCACTAAACACCCAAGCAGACAGTATGAGTGAGCAGATGGCAAGAGAAAGCCTTACCTGCTGCATAAGATCTAGCACCGTCTCAAAACGGGCCTTTTGAGTGGCCTCACTGTCTGTAGGTGTCTCTGCCTCAAATTGTTCACATATTTTTCCCATGACACTGTGCTGTTCCTGATATTTTTCAAACTGCTCAGGAGGCAGAGATGCCCGGTGACTCTGCAACCACTCTGGATACTAAGGAAAGAGAATGAATAGGGAAGAATTAAATGCACAATGGATGGGGAAGGGGAATGAGAATACTTAAAATGTGAAGGAAAGGAGAAAGAAAATCTAAATAAACAAGTTCATCATGAGAAATAGCACTGACTCCAATCAGATCATCTGGCTGTACTAACATTTATTATCATAGATGTTAGCAAACTATTTCTGTAAAAGGCTAGGTAATAAATATTTAGGTCTAGAGGGTCCTATATGGTCTTTCTTGTATATTCTTCTTTATTGTTGTTTTAACAATCTTTAAGGGCTGGGGATATAGCTCAGTTGGTAGAGTGCTTGCCTCACTTGCACAAGGTCCCCAGCACCACAAAAAAACAAAAACAAAAACTTTCAAAGTGTAAAAACCGGGGCTGCAATTGTGGCTCAGAGGTAGAGCACTTGCCTAGCATGTGTGAGGCACTGGGTTCGATCCTTGGCACCACATAAATCTAAAATAAAGCATTGTGTCCACCTATAACTAAAAAATAAATATTAAAAAAAAAGTGTAAAAGCCATTCTTAGCTTGACTATTGGACTTAGGCCTAACAAACCCTTGTCTCTTGACTGCTATACTATTCATTTCATATTTAGCCACATGTTGCTCATGTCATCTCTCTGGGTAAAATTATAAGCTCTTTGATGGAAGGGATCATCATTTGAACTCTTGTTAAATTGTTCATAATAGAAAGCCAGTGAATACTTGTTGGATAAATGAAGTAAAAAACACAAGAAGGGTTTGATCAGACAATCCCAAAGTCTTGAATCGTTTATGGAAAACAATAGCTGAAGGATTTCTCCTTCTACCACAAAGATTCTCAGTGTAGTGGGTTTATTGCTCAGAGATATTACACCCCCCAACTCTTCCCACCACCACAAAATAAGCAAAGATTGAACAAAAAGACGGACTTGTACACTCATTATTGTCACGGTAGGTTTGGAGCAAAGCAATCCATATGAGTTGATAAGATGGAGAGTGAGAAGAAAAGGATCAAGTGGCACAAACCTTTTCTGTGATCTCCTTCAGTGACGGGTACAACACATCCTTGGATAGTAGGTTTTGCATAATACTCTGCATGATGGGGAGGATGTTCCCTTCCCCATCCCCTTCATCCATGCCCAGACCCTCCATGGCCTTGGTCAGCTCCTCTTCCGACATGCCCGAGTTCTAGTCAGGACAAGAGAGAAGTGAACAGGTATACTGCCTTTCTGGGATGCTACCACTCTTTCAGGTGGGAAAGAACAATCTAAACTTGCCTGTAACAAAATAGTGAGGCAAGGATAGACTTGGTAGGTATCCAGGAGCATGTCTTTACAGACTGCTAGTGAAGGGTTTGAAAGTGGGCCCCTTGTGATCTCCTACCCATTCCCCACTAACCTGAAGATCAGTGGCATTTTTGGCTAGGCCACTTAATGTCTCCTTTAGACAAGAAGTAAATTCTTGTTGGGAAGTTGCATCACTGCCTAGAAGAGATCAAAACAACCAGGATCATTTAAGATTTTAATTGACTGCTTGACTATATTACTTTGTTTCCAGCTTGGATATGAAGCATGTAAATAACTATTGCTTCAAATCTCTGAATACTCTATTATCTTCATAGCCATTTCTTAAATCTACATGGATTGTATATCAGTTTATTCTCCACAGTAACATCTACAATAACACTGCATCCTTTACAATGGTCAGTTTGGGATAATATTTTTTATTATTTTATAACATCTCATTCCTTTCCTTAAACTTGGTTCTCATATTTCCTCCTAATGCCTTGCTCCATTCCATGGCTGTAACATTATGATTGATTCAATTTTACTGAGAATCCTGGTGTTCTCAAGCAGGAGACTTACTAGGTCTGTCTAGATATTTCCCTTTGTCTTAGATCTCCTCCTTACCTACTCTTCCAGCAGCCTCTGAGAGCTTTTGGAACTGCTCCACCAGGTGGGGCTCTTCCTCAGCCAACTCCTTCATTGCCTTCTCGAACTCTGCAGTGGCTTGGGAAGCCAGCTCGCTGTCGAATAGTTCCTGGAAAAACTTCTCTTGGGAGGCGAAGAGGGCATCCTGCAGGGGAGGGTGGTCAAAATGCATCTTTTATGGCACGCACTACCGGCAATCTACCAATAGAAGACAAGTAGTAGCTCCAGGAAATGTAGGACCTCCCTCCTACCAACCTCCACTGGACATTCTATCTACCTCTCCTCATTAGGAGAGCAAGAAAGGCTTCTGGCCATTGAGGGAAAGGTATAAAGTGGCATCAATCAATCCAACCACTTAAACCTACTCTTTTCTCAAGGAACATCCTTGAGATACTTCCACTCAACCTTGGGTCCCTGTTTTACAAGGACTAAGGCCTGCAAGAGCACTCAGCAGTGTGAGGCCAAAGCGCCCTTCCACCCTCCCCTCTGGCCCACAGGGGCCTGCCCCACCTCTGCTCAGAGCTGCATGCCCATCCCCTCCCTCTCCCTTAAGGGGGTGGAATTTATACTTTGGCAGTGTCTCCTGGCGATCTCTTCTGGGGCCCTGAAGCATCGGGGGCCGTGGTGGTAGGAGGGGGTGCTGGGGAGGGTTTGGCTTTATCGAAATCATCAAGAGCACCTTCAGAGACAAGAGACATGGTGTGTGTGTTGGGGATGGATGAAGATGCAAGGTTGGGTGTTTTATGGGCAAAGCATTGGGAAAATGATCTTCCAAAGTGTGAACTTTCTTCAAGTTTTCTCCTTTTTTGGAGTCTCTCCTTTCTAGCCCACTGATCAATAAGCCTTCCAATTCTCTCAGTATTACCAAATTTATTGTAATCAAATGGAAAGAAATTCCTATGGTGGAACAAGTGTCCATCTCAGAACTGGGAGGAGAAAGTTAAAAGAAGTTCTGCAGCAATACTTCCACCCCTACACACTAATAATTTTCTAGAAATTACATATAAATATCCAACAAAAGCAGAGGACACAAATGTCCTTATCCTCCTGAACTCACTTTGGAGCCTTAAAGTGGGAATAATCTTTGGCAAGACTGCACAAGATGTCCCACCCAGATTTCCATTGGTCCTGATGTTGGTACAAATTGAGGGACTCCATGCACTTTATGGAAGGGCATTAAACTCTCTTATGTTATTCTTCAATATAGTTCTCCCACAGCAAGCTCCTAGAGTTCCCTTTGGTCTCATCTCTCCAGATAACTCTGCCAATTCAGAGTCACTTGGCACTCCTCACTGTTTCTGTTCGTTTTTCTGCCTGCTCACATCTCTGTGACTGAGCAAGAGATTAAAAAAAATTCACCTCTGTCCTAAAGAGCCTGTGTTGTCACCACCACTCTGTTTGCCAGGCCTAGGGAAAGGGCACTAGCCCCACTCTGGGCAGAAAACCAACAGAGGAGTGGAGGAAAAGCTAAGAAAGAAAAGAACATCCACTGTCTTTCAGGAGGATGAACAGTCCATCTTCATTTTCTCGAAATAATGGAAAAGGAGTTTACTTGAACTACTGCAAGATGGAAGAATTATGGGGGCTTGTAAAAGACAGGGGAAAGGACTGGGAGGGAAAAAAGATGTGTCTTATGTTAAGAGGAGGCACAGAAGGACGCCCTATGGGCTTAAGAGTTAATGTATGTAAACCGTGAGTCTCCGGTTCGCTGCCCACCGAGGACCAAAAGCTGCTACTGGCCTAGGGGAGTTACACTTCAAGACTTTACTAACCTGATGCAAGGGGGTTTGAAGGGGGCTCGCAAATACGGTCTTACAGGGCACCGTTTCTCCCGGCAGGGAGATCAATGATCTGGGCAGCTGGGGGGCCCAGGGTGAACTCCCCAGCTCCCACCGCGGAGGAGGGACAGGGTGACCCAGAGATGTTCTTTGGGGTCGCAGGCAGACCTTCGCCCCCGCCAATTACGTAAGATACTTTCCTGCTTCACCCCAAATATCTCAGGGTCACTCCCCTGAATGGGTCCTCAAAACTGCCTCCTTTGGGCCTTTCCCATCACAGGCTCTTACTTTCCAGAAGCTCCTCCAATTCCCGGTCCGCTTCGGCCCCAACACCACAGTCTTCCGGAGCGGCCGCCATCTTTCTGCCTCTGACTTGCCGTAGGAGGCTGGACTCCGGCAGCTATAGCGTGCCCGCCCCCTAGCTCCCGCCCACTCTGCCTCATACAGCCAATGGGATCATTGGTCTTTGGGGGAACCGCCATTTTTAAAGGGACGGGGAGAAGTGTGATTTTGTTTTTGGTTTGTGTGTCTGTTTCGCCTGGAGAACTTCCTGTTATCTTCTAACCGTTTTTTTCCTGGCTTGTACTCTTCTCACTTTACCTAGAGAAGCTCTTTCATTATTCCTTCCTGAGCTTTGGATAGCCCACATTGAGACAAATTGCCTACAAAACCCCAGATCTATTCATATATAACTGAGAAGGTAATGATGGTGCATATCAGACTATTTCCCCCCCGCCAACATTTTGGGTGCCAGGGATTAAATCCAGGGCCTTGAAGAAGGTGCCAAGCAAGCCCTTTACCACTGAGCTACGCCCCAGCCACTCCCCAATTTAGTTGATGTTGGGGATTAAACCCAGGAATGCTTTAACACTGAGCAACATTCCCTGTACTTTTAATTTTTAATTTGTTAAGTTTTATTTTATTTTTTTAAAGAGAAAGGGAGAGAGAGAGAGAGAAAAATTTTAAAAAAATATTTATTTCTTAGTTTTCGGCGGACACAACATCTTTGTTTGTATGTGGTGCTGAGGATCGAACCCGGGCGGCACGCATGCCAGGCAAGTGCGCTACCGCTTGAGCCACATCCCCAGCCCTTGTTAGGTTTTTTTAATATTTATTTTTTAGTTGTACATGGACACAATTGCTTTATTTTATTTATTTTTATGTAACGCTGAAAATCGAACCCAGGGCTTCACACGTGCTAGTTGAGCACTCTACCCCTGAGCCACAACCCCAGCCCATAATTATTAATTTTTTTGTTTGCTTATTTTGAGACAGGGTCTTGCTAACTTGTTTAGGGCCTTACAAAATTGCTGAGGCCGAACTCGAACTTGGATTCTCTTGTCTCAGCCTCCAGAGTCGCTGGGATTATAAGTGTGCAATATCACTTCGGTCATGTCCTCTCATCCCACTTATTTTCTTCAGTATTTCATTCAAATGTTTTTGAACAGGGCAAGGAGGTGCACCCCTGTAATCCCAGCGACTCTGGAAGCTGAGAGGAAAGAATCACAAGTTCCAATTTAGGGAGACCCTGTCTCAAAACGAACAAATGAAAAGCAGCCCACCGCGGTGGTGCATGCCTTTTAATCCCAGCAACTGGCTGGGAGGCTGAGGCCAGAGGATCACAAATTAAAAGCCAGCCTCAACAGTTTAGGGAAGCCCTAAGCAATTTAGTGAGACCTTGTCTCAAAGTAAAAAATAAAAGCTGAATAAAATTGCAACTTCTGTCCCTCCCCAACTCACATTTTCCATCTTCACTTCTTTTTCTAACAGTGAACACTATCTGACACACTTTAGATTTATTTACCTTGTTTATTATTCTCCTTCTCTGCCTCCCAACCCCCAGCGGAATTTTAAACATGGCCAAATAAAGGATTTTAGCTGTTACCATAGTTGCTGTGTATCTCCAGCTCCTAGGCTAGGGCTTAAAAGTTGATAGGCACTCATTGGTTACTCTTTTCTCACAGACTCCTGTCAGGCACATTTCTCTGCTGATTCTGCTGGATCTCTCTTATTTCCTATTCTCTATCAGAACTGTTAAACTATAGGTCATAACGCCAGGAGCTTAGAACTCAATGTAAGAAAAAGTGAATCTGGGACCTTGGACTGAGCAAAGGGCAATTGGAAATATACTAGTATGATTCTTTCTTTGCACTATTTTTTAAAATTGATTCTGCTTTTTCTATGTTTACTATTGATACTCCTAACATCTCCTTTCAGTATTCACCTTCTGGCTGCTTTTCTGGGTTTTTGTTTTTGGTGTATTGGGGGTTGAACATAGAGGCACGTACACTGAGCTACATCTCCAGCCCTTTTTATTCTTGAGACATATTCAAAACTGTTTATATATACACAAAAAGTTTCTGAACACATCTCAGTTTCTCACAAGTTTGAGGCCAGCCTCAACAATTTATTTGACCTTGTCTCAAATAAATAAAAAAAAGAACAGTGATGTATGTTAGTAGTAAAATGCCTATGGGTTAAGCCCTTAGTGTTTTTTATTAATAATTAATTTTTTGATTATAGGTGGACACAGTATATTTTTATGTGGTACTGAGGATCAAACCCAGTACCTCATGCATGGCACTCTACCTCTGAGCCACAACCCCAGCCCCAAATACTTAGTATTTTTTTAAAAAAAGCTTGGGGGCACTAGGGCTGTGGCTCAGTGGTAGAGTGCTCACCTAGCATGTACAAGGCCCTGGGTTCAATCCTCAGCACCACATAAAAATAAAAAAAGCTTCTGAAAGGACATAAACGGCTAATAACAGTGGTTACCTGAGGCTGGAGTTGTAGCTTTGGTGGAGCACTTATATCACATGTGTGAGGCACTGGGTTTAATCCTAAGTACCACATAAAAATAAATAAAGATATTGTG